GGGGGTGACAGGTGTCCCGCGCGAGACGCTTGGCCGTCCGGTTCCGACTCGCATTACAGTATTTCCGCTTGAGGGCAGGATCGCTTCTAGGTGGCGGCTGTTTTTTTTTTTTTGGTTCGCTTGTTTGTCGCGGCCAAACAAGCCCAAACGCGGACGCCGCGCGGCTTCCGAGGCTAACAGGCGAGCGGGCTAAAGGGGACAACCGAGGCGACGCCGCAGGACCCGCAGTCGCGTTTCTCTTTTTTTTTCCGGCCACTCGTCTCGTCTCGTTTCGCGGCGACCGCGTCCTCGGACGAAGGCCCTTACCTTGCTCGGCTCGCGCGCTTTTATAGTTGGGCTCCAAGTGAGCTCCGCTCAACCCGCTCACCTCCGCCATCTTGGCTCTGAGCTCTCGTCAGCCTCGCTGACGTCACAGCGCGGCGGCCTCCGCCGCCTGTTTCCACGCTTAAATGTTGGCCCGCCACTCGGCAGTTTTTAGCCCGCAAAATTCCCCCTCCGGACCCCCGCGAGTGGTCATTTTAAAGGCTCCGAAAGGTGACCGAGGTCAGTGTCGAGACCTTCGTCGCGCTTTAATGCGTGTCCGCGTTTGTGCGCGTATCAGCAAGCGTGGTCGCAGGCAGGCAGGCAGGCAGGCAAGAGTAGCATCAAGCATGCATGCATCCACTTGAGCCCGAGGTCGTGTCTGTCAATCGAAAGCGCATTCTTGATTATGACGCGCTTCATATCGCATAACCCCAATATGGGCTTTGTTGCTTTCAAATTCTTTGGCAGCCTGAGCATCAAGTGCTGAATTTTGGGCTCGAATCTCTGTGCACAGTTGCAGTTCCCTGCGTTCTACTGTAGCTCCCTTCCTTTGGTGGCTGCGCCAATTTATATTCGGCATGTTAGCTTGGCTGTGATTGGCACTGTGTAGCGGAGCCGGACTTTTATCCTTGGGGGGGGGGGGGTCATGGGGTGACCAAGGCTCTCTCAAACAAGCGTTGTTGTTGTTGAGCGCTTTTCTACCTTTTGTACTCAAAGCGCTTTACACTGTTTACTCATTTACCCGCGCAGCATCGGGAGCAACTGTGAGCGCAGGGCCTTGATCTTAAGGTCACAATGGCAAGGAATTGAACCCCCAACTTCTGGAATCAGGAGATAACCTCCCATTAAAAAAAATACATTTCTCTCACACACACACACACACACACACACACACACACACACACACACACACACACACACACACACACACCTACCAGTGTGATGGTGACTGTGGGCGCGGTCTCGAATGGCCATCGCTATGGGTCGGGGTGATGGGAAGACCAACAGAGCGGCCCAGTCTAAAGAGAAGACCCGACAGAATCTCCTGTTTGAACGCTCATTTGGCTTTGATGGCATCGAACCTGCTCGCAGCGAGGCCAAACACCGAGCCAAAGCAAGCCACCAAACTTGCTCTTCAGCGCAATCCATCAAATAAGTGTCCTCAAGTGTTTGCTCAGCTGTTCCCCGACATCCCGGAAAGATAATCTGCTCGGAGCAGAAATAGAGGGCGGCGTGTCTCGGAGGGCTGCTAATCCTTTGACAAGTTCCCCTTGGCTGCGGAGGCCCGACGTCCGCCACGCGGGGGGTTGG